TTCTCACTCAAAGACTCCAATCTGCTACTTTCCTGGTTCCTCATTCTGAAGTCATTAGGAAATGCTACAAACACCAGGACCACTGTTCCCAGTCAATGCCCTTTTAATTGAAATAAGACTGCCCCATCAGCAAAGCCAGCTTCCAGCCTGGCCAGGCTCGTGCCTTCGTGAGTTTCCTGGCAAAGGCCAGGCCTTTGCACACACAGTCAAAACATGAATAGACCATAAGCTAGCTGCTCACACTGATGGGGCAAAAGGATTTGGAGGTGACATTTAGCAGTAAGGTCTTTAGTTTTAGGTTTTTTGGTTTTTTTGGTGGTGGTTGGGGGTGGAGGGTCTCTATCTGGAATTGAATATCAGATATTCCTAACAGTAAATCCTTCACAAAGCAGGTACCATGTTTGCCCTGACAACCATGCACTGGAAGATACACCCAGAATTTATAAAGAATTCTAAAAAGTGCCTTGGTAGGTGCTGGGAGACAGGTCTACCAGAAGTTGTAAAACCCTAAAGTTCTCCAGTGAAAAAGCAAGGCTGGAGCTCAACCAGGTGAGTGAGGGTGACTGGTAAGCACAGAAGAGGACTACTGGGGGCCAAGAACACTACAAGAAGAAGGAAGGGAACAGCACAGTATTCAGGGGTAAGGGATGACCACTAAGGAGCTTCACAGTGTGCAAGTGCTTATCCTACAGGGACCACTATAGAATTGTGTGCAGGAGGATACATATAGCCCAAAGTGTATGCTGGGACATTCACTGGTGTCAAGTGGAATTGTAGGGCCCAGAGCAGGGAGACTAGAGAAAGCTCATGTCACTGCATGGGCAGGGATGGGGTAGAAGGCGGCACAATGAAGCAATATTAGGAATAATAAGGGCTTAGTGTCCATTAGAAAAGGAAGTGTCCAATATACAACTATGTTTCTGACATGAGAGGTAGGAGGACAAGATGCTGTCCACCTGGGAGGCAACACAAAAAATAGTAAGCCAGAAATTAGGAAGACCATGTGACACTCAAGTACTCGTGGTCATCTGTAAATGAATGAACATATCATCTAGAGCCCCCAAAGAGGTCTGAGCTGGAGATGGTATATGAAGCTACATGGAGTCAAGAGGACACTGAAGTACCAGTAGATGAGATGGGATAGAAGAAGTGGAACTCTGGCCATACTGTAGTTTGAATGTCTATGTCCTCCTCAAATTCATAAATTGAAACCTAATATCCAATGGGATGGTGTTAGGAGGTGGGGCCTTAGGAAAGGGATTAGGCCATGAAGGTATAGTCCTTAGAATGGGATTAGTGCCCTTATAAAAGTGACCCAAGAGAGCTGCCTTGCTTCTTCCACTATGTGAAGACACAGCTAAAAGATGCTGTGAACCAGAGAGCAGACCCTCACAGGCACAGAATCTGTCAGCACCTTGTCCTGGACTTCTGGCCTCCAAAAATTGAGAAACAAATATGTTGTTTATGATTTTTTTGGTGTAGCAGCCCAAACAGACTAAGATGGGAAACCACCAGCTATCCAAGACTAGACTGAGGAAAGGAGCAGCACAGTGGCAGCCATGAGGTAGAAAGAGAACTAGAGGAAAGGGGTTGTCAGAAGACAAGGGGGAGGAACGACCATGTCAAACATTAGGGCATAACAGGTAGGTCCTTACAGAGGGAAAAGGCCATGCACAACTCTTTAAGGGTCCCTCACTCTTTAAGAACAACTCAGATCAGTAAAAAAAAAAAAAAAAAAAAACCTCTGCTCAAATCATGAAGTGATCAGAGAAATACTAAAGTGTGCAGACAACACACAGTGTGATTGTTTCTTTAATGGGGCTGTCTATTCCACTGCCAGCCACTGCACAGTTAAGATCTAAGGGGTGTTTAAAGAGTGTCAAGGAACACTGTATATTAGCACTATGCAAGGAAGTGTTTCTCCATTATATCCACAACTTCACACACACCTTGACTTCATGTTCCCTACTAGTGGAGACAGCCAATGGAAGAAAAACTGAATAGGAGTCCTCTATACTTACTCTTTACAAACAGCCATCTAGTTAATGATGAACTCAAGGTAGACATTCTGTCTGACTCTATACCTGGCTCCTTGAGGTATCACTGAGGGTTTTGGCTAGACAGGTACAGAGTATAACACCAGGGCAGTGGCCAGTCAACCAGAGAGATGATGAAAGGAAGAACTCCCAGCCTCAAAGACGGGCTCTAAAGCAGCATTCTCCATCAAAAACAGAATGCAAGCCATAATGGCAAATGTTCTAGTAGCCATATTCAAAAGTAAAAAGCAGCAGGTGAATTGATTTTGATAACACATTTTACTTAATCTAACATATCAAGATTGAATTTCAAAATGCAATCAATATAAAAATTACTAATGAAATATTTTTACAGCATTTTCTCCACATTACAGCTTGGAAGTCCAGAGTCTATTCTGCGCGTCTAGTAGCTCTCCATTCACACAAGCCATGGTTCAGGTGCTCAGTTAGTACAGATGTGTCCAGTGGCTATCATATGTAGACAGTGCATGTCTAAAAGAAATCCATGCAAAGGGCAAGGATTCCAATTAGGAAACATCTAAGAAATTGTGCCTTTGGCTTAGTTGTCAGGACAAGGTAAATGGAAAACAATAATACTGAGCACATTTATCAATTTTAAAAAAGTACTCTATTGTGAAATCACACACAAAAAAAAACACATCAACAGGACTGAGACAGTTGGCCAAGAAAAAGCTATGGGGTGTGGCCTTGGAGAGGCAGACATACAGCCAATAGATTCACCAGCACCAGGGCCCAATTTCTAACTCTTTACTTTTTCATTGTGCTTTTCCTTTTTCTCCTTTCAAACTTTCAACAACCCTAAGGGAAAGACAGGATCCATTCTATATTGCAGATGAAGAAATTGAGGCCTAGGTAATTTAATTACTTACTCATTCCTGGTCGGTGCTTTCAAACTTAAACCCAGAATTTAGGCCTCACTCCTGTCCCAGACTTTTCAGGAAGCAGTTGATCAAAAACAGCAGAAAACCCACAGTGAAACCAAAGTATCTGCTGAATCACAGAACAGGTGCCTGACAAATGACTTTTTAAATAGCATCTCCCTTTTGTACAGAGCTTAGGAATTTTCAAAACACTTTTATACATGTATTTGATCACCAAGAAGGAATCATATAACTGCCCTAGGAACACACCCACTACAGCCCAGAGAGGCTGGCTCATCCAAGGTCACCTGGGATGATCATCTCTATATCCAACTTCCCTCTACTAGGCCATGCTGGCTCCCTTGATGACACCTTTTAAGATAAAATTCTAAAATGTCAAGGCTACTTTAAAAACATTCTGTTGTTTTTGCAAACCAGTGGTTAAGATAAGGACAGAGCACAGTTTTAATCAATCACCATAGTCCCTTTCCTCCAACTCTAACCCACTGATCCTTAAAGTGGCCTGTCAGCATTTTCATCTCTTCAAGGTACTGGCTGCAGCCAATGGGACTCCTGCCCTTTATTAATCAAACATTCATGCACACACTGATCAAACAAAGCAGAACTAAGAGTATGTGATGGGTCATAGAAATCACATCATTTACTGCTTCAGTCAGGCTGAAGGGGAACTAAACCTGCAGTGTCTGACCTTTTATTTGTTTATTTTATATACTTCAGGATTCAGACAAGCCTATCAATTTGAGATTTCTTTTTTTTAATTTTTCTTTTTAGTTGTAGATGGACACAATACCTTTATTTTCTTTGTTTTTATTTTATTTTTTTATTTTTATGTGGTGCCAGGGTTCTAACCTAGTGCCTCACGCATGCTAGGCAAGCACTCTTGCCACTGAGCCACAACCCCAGCCCCTCAATTTGGGATTTCTTGACTCCACGGACTAGCTAGAGTAAATAGGTTCCATGAGTCTTTAGCAGGGTCAACCATTTTTTAAAAATAGCTATTTATAGTAACATGCTGCCATTCAAATAGTGAAGAGGATCTTCCTGGCCAATATACCTATACATTGCTGAACATAAATAAGGAAAACACCCAGAGCCACATTTTAGTTGGAGGAAAAAAAAATACCTCACTCTTAGGGTAGTTATTCTCAACGGAAAATAAGTATATAGTAGATAAATGAGAAGCTGCAAAACCGCAACACCTGACTCTTAAGACCACTGAATACTTTCAGAAATTTCTTCACAAAGTCATTTCATAAGATGTTCACAACTGTTTGATGAACAGATTTAAAAGAAAGGAATAGAAACCCAAAAGTTTAAAAATGCACCCTGCTACATAGCTATCTGAAAGACAGCCTGAATTATGAACTCCTGGGAACTGGTAAGAAGTCTCCCACCTCTACTAGATGCTCCCACCTAAACCAGGGCACCTGAGCACCACAATATCATCACTAAGAATCAAAGACTTCTTTCACAGGACATAAAGAAGTACTCTATTTTTCCTTTATTTAACCATGATCCAAGTATATTCATGCTAAGGAAGTCCTGTCTACCAGAAATAAAAATGTCCCTTGAGATGAAGGATGAAAGAGCTGACACATAAACAGGTCCCAGCTGTCAAGGGTTAGGGACTTCCAAGCACAAAGGATCCAACTCAGCAGTACAGTAGATTAATTCTATATATATATATTTTAGTTGTTGATAGACATTTATTTTATTTATTTATATGTGGTGCTGAGAATCGAACTCAGTGCCTCACACATGCCAGGCAAGTGCGATACCACTGAGCCACAGGCACAGCCCCACAGTAGATTAATTCTAATATATGATTTGACCAGTATTGACAGCAATCATGAGGGCCTCCAACCATGCCACAGTCTTGCATTCCAAGAACACTCAGAAAGTCAACCAAGACCCCTGCTACAAACCATGTCCTCAAAGAAGGTACGCCATATCCTAAATGCAATGACATCATCCACCCTATAGAACATGCGCATTCAGAAGAGGAAGGAGAGTATAGAGGAGAAGGAGAAAAATGAGAGATGCAGAGATCAGTGGGGCTTACTTTTCTGGCAGCGATTTGTGGTCCAACAGCGGTAGTTGTACTCATTATTGATGGTGGTCTTCTCACACAATGGCTTCTCCTCCAAGGTCCCTGGACACAGGTCCCCACATTCCTTTGGGGGCTTGTTCCCCACAATATAATTATTAGACACTGCATCTAGGATCAAAGACCAGTCCACTGTAGAGAGGTAACAGAGATCAGCATTTTTTTCAATCCTGATGGCACCCCTAGTAATGTTCCTCAGGTTATAAAGCCCAATATCCTTGAGATTAGTCATCTCAAAGATGACCAGGGCGTAGTTGTAAAAAAGTTTCCAGCCGCGGATGACTGTGAGGTTCGGGAAGAGGTCTCCGAGGCTCTCTAGGCCAGCCACTCGGAACAGCAGCAAGTATTCAGTGATGACTGTGAGCTTGGGGAAACGGTAGCTGCGGTAGTCCTCAGCCTTGGAGATGAGCAGGATGTGGAGGTAGCCCTCTATCACCGTGCAGTTCTCTAGGCGCTTCAGCTGCTGATAGTCGTTGCGTATGTCAATGCCCGGGCCACAGACTGAAAGGAGACAAGAGGGCAAAGGCAGGACATGCCCCAGTTAAAAGGAAATCATTTTTTAAATATTTTCCAGCCCACAATATGAAGTTTGCAGAAAACCTATATTAAGGAAATAAGTCTCAATTCTTCACTGCAGACTAAAGTGAGGTATAGGCAGCAGGCTGACTAGTTGGGTAGCTGCCCAGTTAAGCTGTCATTTCTGAAGTACATATTCTGGACCAGATGCTGATAAAATACTCACATGGACTGAGGGAAGGAACATCTACATTAAACATGTAAAGTGAAGCAAAGCCCAAGGTCACATGCAAAAATCAAGTTTGCAAACCCAGGCCAGCCTGCCTTCACAGCTGTCACACTTCACACTCCCTATCCCTTCCGAGAGCACCAGTTCCTGATGCCTGAACAAAAGTTCAAAGGCCAAGTAGCACCAATTTACTACTGCATCCAGCCTGTAGGACTCCAAGCAATAATGTCTATACTGAAGAACAGTCACCATGACCTGGACAGTGGGGACTCAGTAACATGCTCCCATGAGTGTTGCTACCATTTGACATGGGCCAGGTGACCCTGTGTTCTCCCCAAGAGTGCATTTGTACAGACACAAGATAGAAAACATGATTTATGAATAAAAGAGGCATACAGTTCCAACTTTAATAGTTTTTTTAATCAAGAAAGCATGCTTCCTATAGAAAAGTTAGGTGATAGCAAAAAATAATAAAAATCATCAGTGATCTCAACACCCAAAGATAAACAATGTTAATATTATTTATACCAATTATCCTGTCTCTATAAATAATTTAACGCAATGAAATCAAACAATATAACATTTATACATATACTTCTTCCACTTAACATGAACATTTTACCAAGCCAATAAATGTTCTTCTACACCATTTTTAAAATGAGATAGTAATCCTAGAGTATGAATATGCACCTTGAGTTTTTTTTTTTTAACCAATCCCCCACTGTTGAATATTTAGTTTATATTCAGTATGTAACATTATAAACAATGCTCTAGTGGACATTCTTGACAGATATCCAGGAGTATTTACCTAGGATAAATCCTTAGAAGTGGAATTGTTGGCCAGTGTATTCACAGATTTTATAGGCTTTTGATAAAATAGCCTCAAAACTAGAAGACTTTATACTTAAAATTCTACACATATACACCAACAAACTCCCTTGATTATTGTACTTTCTTAGGATTTAATAAATCCCAACCCCACTATTATAGATTCTCAGAAAGAGTGAAGTTTCCTGATTCATATAATTCATTAATTTGTGAAGCACCCCATTTGTATGACACCATGAGATGCAAATAGCTCTGATCTCTGAGGTGGTTTATGGTAAAGGCCAGGAGCTTAGACCCATGACAAATGACTGTCACACAAGGCAGGAGGAATTAAGAGGAGTGCATGTGATATAGCCACACTGCACATGAACTCATCAGGACAGACAAAGGTGGCATCAGAGCTTCCCTGGCTCTCCAAGGGTGGTGGAATTTAAAAGTATGTATGACATTGCAGACACTACAGACAAAGCAGAACAAGGTTTGTTCAAAAGACTGTACACAGGTCAAGGATATAGAGAGAAACAAAAATAATAATAATAAGTTTGGTAGAGACCAAGCCTTAACGAAGGATGTGTGAGGATGAGAACTATCATCTGTAGTATTAAGGTCCCTCTCAAGTCTCTGGAATGGGAGAGACGCCCAAGTGAGGTCTTTTGGAGGATTAATCTGGTGGCTGATACAGAACAGAATCAAAGTGGAATAAGTGAAAGGAGAACAAATGCCCCCTCCCCATTTCAGTCATAAAAGAAACTGGGAAGAGACAGTAGGATGGGGGAAGATGGAGGGATCCAAGGGATTAGGAGTGGCAAAGTCCAAGAACCTGGGAAGGGAAACTATCTTTGGTCAATTTCCTTCATTTTTCTGAAGAGAAAATGAGACTCCTCAAAGAAGAGGATGGGAAGACACCAGCCCTTGGCAAACACCCAGGTGTGCTAGAAGCTCCTGTTGCATCATTTTTATCTCACATGATGTTCTAACCATCCCTCACTTGAGATAACATTATCACCACTTTACAGGTGAGAAAAAAGACCTGGAAAAGTCAAGTCTTATGAGCTGAAGTAGTAATTTACTGGCTTCTGTCTTAAGACTACAGCATCCGTGGCCCACTTTCTTCCCCAGGGAACACTCATGTAAGTTCTCATACACAAGACATAACCCCTCCATAGCGAAATTTGACACAAGATTTGCCAGCCATCCCAGACCACCTCCTTACTGCCACTCTGACTGGGCCTCTGTCTCTACATAGCTCTTAGTTGTGCCTTAGGCGAAACTGTCAAAGACAATGACAGGTACCTACTTCATGCACTTGATCTTCCAGAGCCCTCTGGCACTGCCTCTTCCTCCAGGCTTCTCTGATTTCACACACCCATCAACTACTCCTCCCCACTACCTGATGTCCAAATGATAGCCTCTAGTCTTCTCTCTGTCATCTCACCCAAGCAAGTAGCCTCCTATGCACCTTACTCCTGGATGATTCTCGAATGCATGTCACTGGCCCATCTCCTCTGAGGTGTAAATATCTATCTACCTACTCCACATCTCCATGGAGGTGTCTCAATAACTCATTTCCTTCCCCACCCTTACCTACTACCCATCTTGTTCAGTGACACTCCCATTCTCTTGACTTGCTCAAACCAAAAATCAAGGAGTCATTCCTCATGCTTCTCTCCCCTCACATGCATACACACGCTGTCTAGCAACACCACCTCTGGGTTCCTCCCCAAGTCTGTGGGATTCTCAGGTGCTTTGCCCATAGTTATACTCCCTTTGTCCTCCTTGTGCAGCTCATTATTCCCCTCTGACGCCATCTGCTTCCCTCCAAAGTCATGTCTGCCCTCCTCAGAGTCCAGCTCTGGCTTTTCTCACTCCCATCACTCCCATCACAATGGCAGCTCTAGGAGGAGAGGGGTTATTTTCTGTTTAGTTGACAATTATGTCTCCAGGGCCAACACAATACTTGGTGCATAGCTCACACACACAGGACATATGTGTAAAATGAATATATGTCTTCACCACTATAACTCTGATCCCACCATTGTCATCTCCAGCCTGGGCCAAAGCAATACCTTCCCATGATCCAGCCTTCCTTTCAAGTCCATCCCAAACCCAACACTGGGCCAGCAAGTAAGATGCTACTGAATTTCGTCTTTGCCTATTTGTATCTCATCTTCTAGTATGGTCTTCTTGCTTAGCACACTGTGATCACACACCTCTAATATGGCAAGCTCCTTCTCTCCTCACACCCCACTGCCTGGAGGGCTTCTTCCCCTCTACATGTCCCCCCTAATCATTTCCCCATGCAAATTTCAACCCAAATGTCACCTTATCAGAGCTTTGCCCCAATACCTTAGGTTCAGTAGTCCCCTCAACTACCCCACTAACTCATTCTCCATCCTTCATTTCTCCATTTCATTTTCACCAGCTTCAGGTTAATGGCTCAATGTCCTTGAATACTAAGAGCACTAATTCTTTTCTTCAGAGTAAAGGAATGCTATTATTTTTTTCTATGTCCAGCCTAAAAATTCTTATTCCTTCTGTGCACTATAAATTAAGTATACTGATTTGTTCTTAAATAATAAGAAGTTTGTACAGGAGTATTGAATCTCAATCTCAGTCTATTATTGTATTCAACATGTGCTTGATCTTACTATAAAGTGCTAGGCATCGATTTATTTTCTATTGTTTCCATTAGATTACAAAAATTCAGGACTCAGTAAACTAGCACAAAGATACATAATTAAAGTATGCTGAACTTTCTTACTGTGATGAAAATTCAAGCAGTAAGGGAGAATCTGCTTCACTCTGCCATTTGGCTCCCCTCCATGATCAGTGACGACCACTCAGTTAACGGAAGCTGCACAGCAGAGCTGAAACTGGCAGCTCCTTCAAATGAAAGAGCAGTCTCCATACTTGACACTCCCCCCACCCATTTATAGAACAAAAGAAAAAAAATAGGAAGAAACCACCCACTTATTCCGAGAAGACAAGCCCAAGCCACAAAGTACAAGGCAGGACTCAGCAAACAGCTGTTTTGGATTCTGTGACTGACACTGTTGGTCTTTGGGGTGTTTTGTGATAGAAACAGAAAAAAAGAAACCAAGCTGGACCATGAATGATAGCACAGTGTTCAAAAGATGCAAGCCACAAACAGGAAAGAGAATACAACGTGCCTTATTTGTGCTGTGAAAGAATGCTTGCATTGAGGGAGCAAATGCTCAACACAGTGTGTGAAGCAGAGACACACCCTTTGCTACTGCCCATTGACAATTAAAAGAATATTTTCAAAGCAACAGATATATGGGCATGCTCCAAAAAACCTAAACACTTTTAGAATGTAAGATCCCAGGATAGCCTACAAAGAATAATCAAAATTTATGAAAATGAAGGTAGGCAGAAAGCAGGGAGAAAAAGGATACTGCTGAGAGGGAGAGACAGTGGGCCTCAGTTGCAGTCCCCAAAACTGAATAACAACTGCAGAACAAAAACAAATAGAGGGCTGCTTATGGTGGCACATGCCTATAATCCCAGTGGCTCAGAAGGCTGAGGCAAGAGGATCATAGGTTCAAAGCCAGCCTCAGCAATTTAGTGATGCCCAAAGCATCCTAGCAAGACCCTGTCTCTAAATAAAATATTTTAAAAGGCTCAGTATGTGGCTCAGTGGTTAAGTGCCCCTGGGTTCAATCCCTGGTACCAAAAACCCAAAAAACAAAAAACAAATGGAGGCCTGACAAAGGTGCTAGGAAGACTGGAGCCTCAGGCAGGAGCCTGGGACCAGAGGCAAAATTCATTTTCCAAAAGATACCATATCAAATAAAGTCTATCAGTTGAGAGGATGATGTTCCAATAACTCAGTTGTTTGTTTGTTGTTGTTATTGTTGTTGTTTAATCAAGAGGCAGAATTTAGTCTACCAGAACTTAAGTGAATGGC